GGGGAGTTCGATGAAAACCAGAAATCATGGGTAGTGTACCTTGAATGTTTTGAGCAATTTCTTGCTTGCAACTCCATTTCAGACATGCAAAGAATTTCAATCTTGCTGACAATGATGGGTTCAAAAGCATATGGACACCTGTGTGACCTACTGTCTCCAGCTGTGCCCTGAACTGCTACATCTGCCACAATTTCTGCAACAATGCAGGAACATTTTTTCCTACCCCGCTGATGAAGCAGAATAATATTGGTTCCATCAGTGACATCAGGGAAGTGGAGATTCGGAAGCACAATTTGTTGCTGCTCTCAGGATGTTGTCAGAACACAGTCAGTTCCAACAAACATTAAATGATGCCCTACATGACCAATTTGTCTCTGGATTATGCAATGACCAGAACTGGAAAAAGTTACTGACTGTATTAGCCCTTACACATTCAAGAAGGCTGTTGAGATAGCAATTGTCATGGAGACTGCAGAGAAGGATTTGCTGAAATTTAATGTGAATCAAGAAGTTCCCCTCCTGCATTGGCGAGACAGAGGACCACGGGAACCTAAGGAACTTCTGTGTGGCTGTTATGCATAAACCACATGTGCTGAGAAGGAATGCTGGGCATGCCAGCTTATCTTCAGGAAGTGCAAAAAGAAAGGACACATTGCTGTGACCTGTCACACAGTTCAATTACCAGCAACACAGAGTAGCCATACATCTAAGAAGACACCTCTGGAGACTGAACCTAAGAAAGGATGGAAGTTGGGAATTCATCATATGGAAAAAGACAAGATTTCTAGAGACACTGATCAAGACCTAGCACTACGTCTGCTATCAGAAGCTGGAGTAAGAGATGCTATCTTGGTCACATTCTTGATCGAGGGAGTTCCTACAAGAATGCAGCTTGATACTGGAGCTGCCATCTCACTGAGTTCTGCATCTACCTATCACCAGATGTTGTCACAAGTTCCTCTGGAACAGTGGTTCTCAACCAGAGGTCCGGGGCCCCTTGGGGGGTCATAAGCAGGTTTCAGGGGATCTGCCAAAAGAAAACAGAGAGCAGGGCTGGCATTAGACTCGCTCGGGTCTGCGGCTGAAGCTGAAGCCTGAGCCCCACTGCCTGGACTGAAGCCGAAACCCGAGTAATTTAGCTTTGCAGGGCCCCCTGTGGTGTGGGGCCCCGCGCAATTGCCCTGCTTGCTACGCCCTAATGCCGGACGTAGATTTCAATCTACTGGATATGCAGAAAAACAACTGTTGTGGCACAGGTGAGCCATGGAGATTTTATAGCATGAAAGAAAAAGGCTGAGAACCACTGCTCTGGAAGACACCTCATGGTTTTGAAGACTTATACTGGAGATAAGTTAGTCCCCAAAGGGATACTCCAGGTGAAAGTTCACATTCATGGACAATCAGTTGTTTTACCCTTGTATGTGATTGAAGGAAAGTATCCACCATTCTCAGGCAGATCTTGAATTGAGAAGCTCAAGGTGAATTGGATTAAGATCAAGGTGATAACAAAAGCACCTTGAAATCAAGAAACACTGGGCAGACACTCCAAAGTTTTGAAAAAGAAGTTGGACGGATGAGCAACATGTCAATGAAGCTCACTGTTAAGTCTTTAAGGTGTTTCCTGTTAGCCACATAAATGATAATGTACATAGATTAGTGAAGTTTTTTAAAGTAGGGTGGGGAAATGTGATGCCTGTCCCTTTAAAGGTTGGAGCACTCCTCCTTCCCCAGTGCAAAGCTTCACTTTCCTGTTAGTTTCAGTTTTGCTGAAGAAGAGAGGGGAAAAGACATATTAAGAACAACAATATCAGTGCTTGAAGTTAACTCTCCAAAACGACAAGAAATATTACAATGGTTCTCTGTGTATATATATCTTCCTACAGTATTTTCCACTGCATACATCCGATTACGTGGGTTTCAGCCCACGAAAGCTTATGCCCAAATAAATTTGTTAGTCTCTAAGGTGCCACAAGTACTCCTCGTTCTTTTTGCTGATACAGACTTACACAGCTACCACTCTGAAACAAAATAACTTGACACTGAAATTAGTAGAAAATTAAAGGTTTTGTGTTTCTTACCCAACTAAAGTCATTTTTGTTGGCCCTTGAAGATTTACTTCTGATTGGAATGTGGCACTGCTAGCTACTGATTGTAAGGATCCGTTCTCAAGCTGTTCAAAATAATAAGCAAAAAATCTGTTTTTGATAATTTTTAATAAAGACAAATCATGTCTGTGACTATGAGAATGAGACAGAGAACAGTGGACTGGTTTAATCACGCAAAAGTTATTAATAAAACTAATGGAGGCACAGATCTTGGGAAAATATGTAGTCACATTCTTTAGAAAGGTTCGATATGCCAGGACCCTTGTCCTCATTATTACAGAGAACTAGCAGTAAGTTTCATTTATGCTGTTCAGCACTGGCACAGTATTTTCATGCTGCTGTCTAGTCTGGGTCCAATCTCTTTTTAATTCCAGCAGTCAGTAGCCACTGGCCACTGATGTTTTCCATTGAGTTTAAATGTAATAAACCCTTTGACTGGCCCCAGAGCATTTGAAATTTAAAAAGAGTAACAACGGTTAGGACCTTTTTTGGAGAGGATCAGGAAAAGAAAGGCTGGGGCTATGTTGGGAGGTTATACAGATGGAAGGAGAAAACAGGGAACTGTTGGGAAGAAGAGGACGGGAAGGAATGTAGAAATAGAGGATACAGAAAGATATGGAAAACAAAACTGCAAATTTCTTTACACCACATTTCCAGTGTGTCTCACCCCTGACCTGCAGTCACTATCTTTATGGATAAGAGAACACTTCCGGCACCTTACTCCATTCAGTGCTTGGGGTTTCTCTCCTCTCTCCTTTTTATATAGACACTTATCCACTAGGAATTCGCCTGAGCCACAAATTCATCTGACACATTTCATTCAAATTAATATAATTCAAATCACACGTCATCACGTAATAACTTCCAGTCACTATTGGTTTGAACTCTATTTGTACTGATAGACTAGAAATCCAGGGCTTTCTATCTTCTTATCAGGCTTCGGTCCCATTGTTTTATTTAAACTATCACACTGTTCTAACAACTACCGCAGTGATAATAGATAAATAACAAGGATAACAACTTGAATACTTATAAAGCATAATAACAATGAACATTTTAAGTCCTAACCAGGGTGAGTAGAGGAGAAGTACTGAAGTACAACGGAGGATGCTTGCCAGAGTGCTTACAATGGCAGAAAAAATTAATGCCCCGCATATGTATTATGCATTGGGTTGTGATTGCTCCACTTCAAAATTTGACATTTTAAACAAACATTCACACATGCACACAGAAGGCAAAAGTGAGTTTTAATTCCAAAACCATTTCATATTTTATATATGGTGGGAATTTCTTCCAATTATGGCTCAATCCCCCAAGGTGCTGACCACCTTCAACTCTGACAGATTTGAATGGGAGTTGAAGGGTTAATTGGCACCTCACAAGTGTGAATTTTCAGACTGCTATTCTTAGCTCATGTTCTCTCTTCAAAGCTTCTGGATGAAGAGTTTCCGCCTTTCCAGGCAAAAATCAGGAAGTTGTGATTTCATTTACAAACAGAAACAAGTCTCTAATGCCTTGTCTGTATGGTGTCACAGACTGGACTACAGGTGTGTGATTTGTAGAGCACACTAAACTGTTGCTCTGTGACTACCCTGTGTAAATTCTGCTGACATGAACTAAAAGGTACCTAGTTCATATTGATGTATTCCTGTTTCAGACAGGACTATGTTAACTCAGAGTAGAGAACTTTTAGATCATGAAAGCTAGAAGGGTCGAGTGGAACACTTCAAAAAGCTCTACAAATCACACACCGATAGTCCAGATTGTGGCACTATGTAGACAACACCTGAAACAGTTTCCAGTCATAACACCTCATATATGAATACCAAATTCAAGATCTTGATACTGTAATAATTACATTCTTGCTGAAAGGTATGTTCTTAACACTGGGTTCACCTTCATTCTTCCAAAAATGATATTGAAATCACAGGCCTCAATATATCTTATTGTACACTGGATGCAGACCTAGCCAAGCGTTATACAGTAACATGTACATAACAGCTAGAAATTCTGATTTATAGGGTCTTTACAGAATTTACAATGTGTTGGTTACTTCCCTAAGTCGAATGAATATCCCATTTTATGAATGAATGAGAAGCCTTAAGAGAAGAAATGACAGTATATTTACTTTTTTTTTAAAGGCTTCCTCACCTGTTGTTCATTGAGATCCACTTTACCTGGAATTGGCAAAAATTGTCCCAGCAGAGATGTCATAGGGTTAGGCACATCTGATAAGAAAAAGTTTATATGAAGTTAATTGGATTGCTCATAGGTCATAAAGTTAAGCACATGCATAAGTGTTTTCAGGATCAAAGCCTAAACTTGTGGGAGCAGATGTGCCATTTAGCATCTTTAAGCCTTTCTTTTATTTAAAAAAAAGACATTTCCGGAGTTCATCTTTCATCTCCGCTTCTTTGTCATAGATTAGCTTGGAACCAAACTCATGCTTCCCCCACAATAAATATTGTTAATGGAGGGCCCAGAAGATATCTCTCCAGAAACATTTCTTTTAAATTTGCAAAAGGGTTGCATTTGGGAATTAAATACACCTCTACCCCGATATAACACGACCTGATATAACACGAATTCGGATATAAGGCGGCAAAGCAGTGCTCCGGGGGGGGGGGGGGCGGGACTGCGTGCTCCGGTGGATCAAAGCAAGTTCAATATAACGCGGTTTCACCTAGAACGCGGTAAGATTTTTTTGGCTCCCGAGGACAGCGTTATATCGAGGTAGAGGTGTACTAAACAACTGCACACAGCCACCAAAGGCCATCACCAGTTTGTCAACAAGTTGACCATCAGAGGCCTTTACTCTTTGACCTTAAATACATCAGAGTATGTTTAAAAATACTCCAAATCCAAATTTTATAGCCTAAAATACCTTTATAAATAAGTAACTGACAGAAACTTTCATTGTATTTATTTCGGACTCTTATTTTACAACTTTGAAAGTCAAAAGAATGCACTTGGAGCAGAAGTATTTGCCTATGAACAAGAAATTACAGCTAGAAAAATAAGGAGGAGGCCATAGCCCTAGAGGGGGTTTCTTTACATAGGTCCTGATTCAGCAATTCACTCAAGCACATGCTTAACTTGAAGTACGTGAACAGTCCCACTCACTTTAATTCATATTAATCCTCCACACCAGTTTGAAAAAAAAAGGATTAGACTCTATGAGATTGACTAAATGAATCTTGCTATCTGAAATTAATTTATAGATGCCTTCTTGCAGATGTTGTAAGAAAAAATGGAGCTCAGAAAAAAGCTCAATTTGGGGTCCATCGCTCTGGGACTTTAATGGACTTAATTTCTGGTTCCTCTAATACTGGGCCTCCCATTGCCCTCTGTTTTATACTATGAAGGTGAGTAAAATGGAAGATAGTCTGGTCAAATGGGAGATAAAGACATGTGGTAGTTCTCTGATATGGTTTCACCATCCTCTCCTCTGGAGATATTGTGACTGTAATAGAATTTGGAATTTCAATATAAATATTTTCCTCATTTTGGATCTTTCAGATTTATCCTTGGTAAGGGCCTTGTTTGGCTTTTTTACACTGTATCAAATATGTTGGGCATCTGCAGAATCTACTGAAGTCAATCAGGGTTGGAAATGCTCTGCACCTTGTGAAACTGAGCCTGTTAGTCATGTTTTTACAGTGCCTAACATAATCAGACCCTAATCTCAGATTGGTGCCCATTGGCTCTACTGCAATACAAACAACAGATAATACTAAAAACAACATGGAAGGAGACAATGGTAAGATGGCTCTTAAGAAAGTAATGCTGCTGGAGGAAAGAGAAGCTTACTAAAATGTTACCATTAAACTACATGCACATACAGCCAGGGCCGGCTCCAGGCACCAGCCCAGCAAGCAGGTGCTTGGGGCGGCCAAGGGGAAGGGGCGGCACGTTGGGCTCTTTGGCGGCAATTCGGCAGCGGGTCTGTCGGTCCCTCTCGGAGGGAAGGACCTGCCGCCGAATTGCCGCCTAAGAAGAAAGCAGTGCGGTGGAGCTGCCACCAATCGTGATCGCGGCTTCTTTTTTATTTATTTTTTTTTTCCGCCACTTGGGGCGGCAAAAATCCTGGAGCCGGCCCTGCATACAGCATTGCTGTTGTAGATGAAAATCTTAATGCTAAATCCATGCCCCTTCAGCTGCTTTTTATTTTTGGAGAAAGAGTAACATTTGGTGGCAAGCCTGGGTAAATGCAAGTGGGTGTCATCCTTGAGAATGCATGTGGCTTGGACAAACTGCTTCCTACTGAATGTAATCTGCTTATTAACATCATATGACCAATTCATTAATTTCAGCACATCTATTGTAGCATTCTTGTGGTCTTTTTGTGAAGTACCTAGCAGAAACCGTAAAATAATAAATAGTAATTGGTGGTAGTCCTGGCTCATCTCAGCACCAATGTTGCTTAGAAACACAAACACGTAGATACACATTAATGATTTGTGGCATAATGTCTGACACATTATTTTAAATTTTCATTTTCTTTGTACCTGACTGAAGATAATTATGTTGGTTTTGATACTGGGGAACCAGATGAACTGTTTTCAGTTCTCTTGTGCCAGAATTGTTTATGCAGATTATTTGAGTACCTCCTTTCAACTGGCAGATCACCTGAAATACACCATAAATGATTAGTTTTCATCTAAGGATAGTCATTCTAGGCACATAGATACAAAGTTTTTCATAAGAATACCTATCTGTCTGATTGCAGAATGCCATTGAACAGCTATGCTGCTGCTCCTCATCTCAGGTGGGAAGGATTTATAGCTTTCTAGACTCCCCAACCATGGAACTCTCCAGGACACATTCCAATTACTAGTGCTGTGTTCTGTGTTTAGGATTTGGTCCTCAAGACAGAAATATGGGTCTGCAATGGTGTTTCATTTTGTTCACCCAACTATAACTATAGAGCAAGCACCTCTTTTTGGTTGTAGCCAACTCCACAGATTGCTTTGTTTCTAATGTTATATAGTAAATATAGACAAAATTTAGTATAATTAAATATAAGCTCCTAGATCATGAGTTCTCTGGAACAGGGACTGCCTTCTCATTACTTGTCTGTATAGCACAGGCATAGTGGTCCCCTGACTGGGGCCTCTAGACTACTATAATACAAATAAATAAGCAAACAAATAAACATAATTTCCTTCAATGTGTACTGTTGCTGTCAGTTTCAAGAAGTAATTACCACTGGACTGGAATCTTTTCTGTGTGAACAGCTGGGGTCCTCCATTACATTTTGTGCAGTTAGTAACTTGCAGCTGGTTTCTCCTGCATTTGAATTCTGAAAAACTGCTTCCTTTTGGTTATTAGCCATATTACTAACAATTGCTTCTTTTACCTCCGCCTGAAAAAATAAATAGTTTCACATCTTAAAAGGAATACTTTAAATGCTACCCTAAATTGCAGTGCCAGTAGGACAAGAGATGAAAATTTATAGCTGCATAAACAATGCATTTTAAAGCAAAAACTGTATTCAAACCTAATTTGGAGAATAGCTAGTTCTAAATGTTACAGCTTAGGCTGAATGATTTTCATTTAATATTCAAATGAAAATACTTCTAAAGAATAACAATGGGTAATGCACAAAGACATATTTTACAGTAACAAAGACGTTCCTTCCCTTCCTATACTGGCAATCATCAACTCAGTTCCACGCTGCCCTGGAGAAGCTAAGAGACTGCTTTAGCAAGTAATGTGAAACACATGAATTAATTATAAAATACACAACTTGAGCCCTATGGACCCAAGGGATTTAATTTAATTAACAACTGAGCAATAACATCAGGACTGGAACCTAACAGTTTAAGCAGCATTCCCATACTAAGTCATTTGTCACAGTGGTCAGTGAGTAAACTTTGGTGGTACTCTTCTTCAAATGGGAATTGCTGCACCTTTACTCATTGGCAACACTATCCACCATAAAGCATTTGTCAAGCTGGTACATGGAAGAACTGTAGTACCCACTGCATAATGATCAAACCTCTGAATAAAGCCCTGATTTATTCAAAGCACACACTAAAGCACTCACCAGGAACCCCGGCACACCTTGTCCATGACAGTGTCCTAGGGATGTCTAGCAAAAAGTTCTCCAACCTGGAATTTCTTTGTTTTTATGGTTTGTCTTTTATAAACCTAGGAAATTACATTTAAAAAACCCAAACACAGTAAAAGAATGTTAGGGTTGCAAAGTGAAGCACTCCAACAGTAGGAATTGCCAGTGTTATAGTTGTACCTCAGCCTTAACTCTGCCCCTTTGTATGCATGCAACATAATACAGGCTTAGATGCTAAGTGACAGCTGAGGGTTTTTTGGCACAGCTCAGGATGAGATATGTGCAAAGGTAGCCATAAGCCACTTCTGTATTCTCTGACTGTACAAGGATGACTGGCCACAGTCCATGTGACTGCCTTAGGCAGAGGGGTAGCATAGAAGCTACTACACCACCCAAGATCCCCCTGGACTGGGGAAATCCTTTGGGGGCAGGCAAGGCAGCTATAGTGCATTACATTATCAAATAAAATGCATCTGCAGGACTAGTGTCTCTTTTGGGCCCTGATTTAGCATGTGCACTGCCTCACTGGGTACGTCCATGTTGCCTGCAGACTGCCCACAGAAGCAAGTCTCCCAGCCCAGGATGAGACACTTGGGGAATTGAGGCTTGTGCTAGTGATCTAAAAAGAATTGTGCAGATAGTGCTTTGAAGTTGAGGCTTGGATTGGAACTCAGGCTCTGAAGCCTACCCCCTTCCCCAGGCTTCAGAGTCCGAGCTCCAGCCCGAACCATGATATCTACACAGCCTACTTTCAGTGCAGTAGTGCAAGCTCCACTAACCTGAGTCTGTCAACTCAGACATACCCATTCTCTTCAATGACAGCTGCTGGTCCTCAGCACTTTTGAAAATCAGCCACCTACTTAGGTGCCTAGCAGCCTGATCCAAAACCCACTGAAGTCAATCAGAGTCTTTCCATTGACTTCAGTGGGTTTTAGGTTAGCCCCTAAATGAGGATTTAGGAGCCTAACTTTACAGCCAAGATTTTCATAAATGGATGTCTAATGTTCTCTTTTTTCTTTGTATGTGGAATATGTAGGACTGCATTTGAAAAAACATTTTACCCTTTGGCAGTTTAGGTGATTCCCGTTTTCAATTTCTACAATATTTTGCCTGTAAGATCAAAAACAAAGAACAAAAACTTTCAGAAAAATAACAATAACATCTTAAAATCATACTTACAAGTTCATCACAGACAGGAGCACTAGTCTGAGGTAAAGTGCTGGTATCACTGCAAGGTTCTGTCACACAAAATGGAAGGTTTTTTAAACAAACAATGAGGACAATGGCAAACATTAGGAGATCTTTTATACTATAGGTCTAAGGAAAAAAGATTTGGACATCACAGGATTGCGTAGGACACTGACAAAAATTAAAACAAGCACTCTGAAAGTGCAGCTAAGCTGGCATAAAAATATTGACTATTCTCCACTAACAGACTTCCTGTCAGGAAGGCTGGGAAATGAGACCCCAGTATTGAGCCAGCTTGATGTTTCTCAAAATAGCTGGGAAAAATTATACATTTCTCAGTGATGTTATGTTAATAAAGGCTAATGAATGTGCAACTTGCCACTGGAGGGATTCTAATACCCGATCACATGACAAATGGCTATGCGATACCTCATATATTAGAAGAAACAACTGGAGAACATGCTTTGTGGTCTGGCATCTATATAAGGGCAGCTTTGTCTTTTTGACACTGGCTCATGCTAGGACTGATGCAGAGCAGCACAATCGCAGGGGGACTCCAAAAGGCAACGTTCTTCAAGGATGCACAATCCCTCCAAGAGGTTCCAGGCATGCATACTGTAGGGAGCACACCCCCGGCATCACTGCTTAGGAAGATGCAGCATGATCCTTTCTGCATATCTGTCCAGCTCTGTATACCTGGCTTTACTCCTGTCTCTTCCCTTACCCCTTTGGGATGGCTCGTAAGCAAGGAATACTGTTGCACACAGGGAGTGCAACGGTGCATGGTCCCTATGCAATGGTGTAAGGCTCCTTTTGCCCACCCCATCCCCTCTCCTTCCCTTGTACACCTGTGTATGGAAGGGCACAAAGTGGCCATTACTGAGCCCATGAGAAGAGAGCTCACTCCTACCTACTTGAACCTGAGCAATATCTTTTTAAAGGACCAGGGAGAAAACTATCCTTTAATTGAACTTTATATCTTCACTTTTCAAGATAACCATTGAGCTACGACAATTTTTTTGAACACATTCTCTTTCAAACTTCTTCAGCTTCCTTATGGACATCAAAGTAAATAGAAGTACATGGATAGAAACAATACTGCCTAGAAATTAAAAACAATTCCTTTCAACCTCCATGATGTAAAGCCCACATTATCACATAGCAAGATCAAAAGTCACAAAGCTAACGTGCAATCAGAAATCAGAGCCCTGGGGAACAATTCAGAGGATTGGTGATGGTATATCATACTTCTTACCTTTCAGTAACTGGTTCAAATTTGGGCCTTGTGAGTAATGACCAAAAATCATTCCCATTTAATAGCTGTTCAGTGGCTTATGTCACATGAGCTTGTGATTGCTGTCTTGTTTCTAATGTGTAAGCATCCACATTACAAATTCCCAATTACCAGTGGCACTCATTGCTGGCAGACTCAGCAGAGAGGTCAAGATCTAAAATAACCTGAAGACTGATAATCTCCCTCTCCCTAACTAGAGCAGCAGCTCCTCCTAGATTGGGGCTGAGGCACACTGATAAGGGAATGTGGAGAAGCTTGCACTGCTGTAACTGCTGCATGGATAAGGCTAAGATTTTGTCATGGTTATTTTTAGTCACAGTCAGGTCATGGGCAATAAACAAAAATTCACGGAAGCCGTGACTGTCTGTGACTTTTGCTGCTGCGGCTCCATGGTTTCCTTTACCACCATGGTGGCTGGGAGCTGTGGGGTTCCCCCTCTGCCTGTGGCAGCTGGAAGCTGCAGGGGGGCCCCCTCCAACCACGGTGGCTGGGAGCTGAAGGGGGGTCAAATTTCCCAAAGAGAAAACTGGACACCCTTAGCCACTCGCCAAAGGCGCCCCCTACCCACCCTCTCGCGTGAGGCTGTCGCCTGTTGCTGGAACCCCAAGGGCCCACTCAGGAGGCTGTTGCCTGTCACTGGAACCTTACAGGGGGCCCCTGGGCCTGAGGCAGAGAATGTCATGGAGGTCTTTGGAAGTCACGGATTCCGTGACTTCGATGACCTCCATAACATAAACATAGCCTTATGCATGGATAAATAGAAGACTTCCATCTCCAATCCCATCACACTTTAATGAGTGCTAACAAAAAATTAACTTAGAGGAGAAAAACAAACTAGAAATCATACAGGGACAGTCAGTCATTTATACTGTCAGTTGTAGATGGGAGGAGACCAAATTAAAAAAATCAAACTCACAGTAGGTGACTTCTCCAAACACTTACCATTGGAGGTACCTGGCAAGGCTTGTGACTGTACACAACTATTAAGCATTCCTTTGAATTGGTCATAACAAATACAATTATTCCCACCAGTAACTGGATCTAGTAGAGGTCTGAATACCTAGAGAAAGAGAATATGTTTTCTTTCATTCATTTCTTTAACTTCAACACATTTATAGAAAAATTTAACTATTTGATTTCAATTGTGAAAAATCATAGCCATTTAGTTCAAAGTTTAAGAGAAGGTTGCTCAGCTTGTGCAGTAACTGAGGTTCTTTGAGGTGTGTGTCCCTGTGGGTGCTCCACTTCAGGTGTTGGTGCGTCCCAGTGCTGTCAATCGGAGATTTTCAGTAGCAGTGTCTGGTCGGGGTGCGTGTGCGCAGTAGCAGTCTCGCAGTGCTGCTGGTGCCTCATCTAGCATGCTCAGGTCCCGACCCATTCAGTTCCTTCTCTACCGTGGAGTGTTTAGCTCGTACTCCGAATTAGAGGGGAGGAGGGTGGGTAATGGAGTACCCACAAGGAGATACACATTTCAAAGAACCTCAGTTACTGCACAAGGTGAGTAACCTTCTCTTCTTCTTTGAGTGCTGTCCCTGTGGGTGCTCCACTTCAGGTGAATGTAGAGCAGTGCTCTCATGAGGATGGAAAGGAATTCAGAGTTCAGTTTGTTGCTGAGGCTAGTACAGTGAGGCCTAGTCTTGTGTCTGAGCTTGAACTGAGAGTAATTGCGTAGTGATTTGTGAATGTGTGTTAAGAGGCCCAGGTGGCCACCCTGCAGATGTTTAGAATGGGCACATTGTGTAGGAATGCTATGGATGTAGATAAAGCTCTTGTTGAGTGGGTTCTGATGCCCAGAGGGGCTTCAGTGTTGTGCAGTGAATAGCACATATGGATACAGCTGGATATGCATTTCGGTAATCTTTGCGTAGATATGGCAGAGCCTCTGATCGTTCTGTTGTTGACACAAAAAGTCAAAAGTCAATTGGAAGAGCTTCGTTCCAAATAGATAAAATGCTAAGCGCATGTCCAACGTGTGCAGGACCGCCTCTTGTGCGATAGTGTGTGGTTTTGTATGAAATGTAGTTAAGTGAATCAGTTGGTTGAGATGGAACAAGGACGATATTTGGGGCATAAACTTAGGATGTGTTCTAAGTGTCACTTTATCCTTGAAGAATATTGTGTATTGTGGGTGAGCCACGAGAGCCCCTATTTTGCTGACTCTTCACACTGATATAATGGTGACCAGGAATGCCACTTTCATAGATAAGTGAAGTAATGAGCATGTGGCTAAGGGTTCGAATGGGGCTCTGGTTAGACTTCTGAGCACCAGATTTAAGTCCCATACTGGCATGGGTTCTCAGATATCTAGGTATATGTTCTATATGCCCGCGAGAAACTGCTTAGTAATCGGGTGAGCGAATATCGAAGTCCTGTCTACCTGTTGATGGAAGGCCGTGATGGCGGCAAGATGAACTCTATGTGAGCTCATAGTAAGCCCTGAGTTCTTTAGGGATAATAAATATTGCAAGATTAGTGGAAGTGGTGCCTTGTTTGCAGATATTTGTTTATTCTGGCACCATAGGAAGAATCTTTTACATTTTTGTAGGTAAGTAGTATGCATGTTGTGATTCCTGCTGTTTATTAAGACTTGTTTTACATGTTCTGAGCAGGTTAGTTTGTCGTGGTGGTGCCATGAAGGAGCCACGGCTTCAGGTGAAGTTTCTCTGGGTCTGGATGGAGGACTTGACTATCGTCCTGAGAGAGAAGATTCCATAGGCCAGGGAGAGTGAATGGTGTGCAGATCACTATGGGTGTCAGGTAAGGGAACCGTGTCTGTCTGGGCCATGTTGGTACTATGAGTATTATTTTGGTCCTATCGGTTTGTATTCTGTGTATTACTCTGGAGATTAGAGGTATTGATGGGAATGTGTACAAAAGGGGAACGTTCCATTTGATGAGAAAAGTGTCCCCTAGGGATTGTGCCCCTAGTCCTGCTCGTGAGCAAAACTTTGGGCATTTCTTGTTTACTGATGTCGCGAACAGGTCTATGTGTGGGGATCCCCATATGTAAAATATGTGTTGTGTTATTTCGTCATTCAGTTCCCATTAGTGCTCTTGGGGAAACTGTCTGCTTAATGTGTCTGCCATCATGTTCAGTCGACCCGGGAGGTATGCTGCTGTAATAGTGATGTTGTGTTTTATGCACCAGTTCCATAGTTTTAAGGCCTCTGTGCATAAGGAGTGGGAACATGCTCCACCCTGTTGATTTATATAGAACATACACACAATGTTGTCCGTCAGAACCCTTATAATTTTGCCTCATATAAGAGGGAGGAAATGAAGGCATGTTTTGTGGAACGTGCGTAATTTGAGCAGGGTTGATATGTAAATGTGTTTCAGTGGGGACCACTTGCCTTGGACTGAATGTTGGTTTAGGTGAGCTCCCCATGCGATCAGTGAAGCATCTGTTGTGATTTGTATAGATGGTGGATCCTGTTGAAATGGGATGCCTGAGCAAACGTTTATTGGGTTTGTCCACTATCGTGTGTGAATGTAGAACCTCTGGGGTCGGTGTAAGTCTTTTGTTTAGGCTGTGCTTTCGTGGAATCTATACCGAGCTCAGCCATCCTTGAAGGCAGCGCATGTAGAGTCTGGGGTGTTTTACAACGAAAGTGGTAGCTGCCATATGTCTCAAGAGTTGTAGGCAGGTGTGTGCAGACACCCATGGGCTGTCTGAGACCACCCACATGAGGGAGGTCATTGCTGTGAATCGGGGTGATGCTTTAGCCTCCACTGAGTCCAGGTGTGCTCCTATGAAGTCCAAACATTGTACTGGAGTTAGGATAGATTTCTTTTAATTGATTTGTAGCACTAGGGAGTGAAAAAGAGAGATGGTTTCTCGAGTAATGCGTAATGTTTCTGTCAAGGTTCGGCCTTTTAGCAGGCAATCATCTAAGTATGGGAATATCAATATTCCCTGTCTGCGCAAATAAGCAGCTACCACCGCTAGGGTTTTGGTAAAGACACATGGAGCGGTCAACAGTCCGAATGTCAGTATTCTGTATTGGAAGTGATCTTGTCCCACTGTGACTCATAGAAATCGTCTGTGAGCGGGATGGATGGCAATGTGAAAATAGGCATCTTGCAGGTCCAAGGTTTAGAACCAGTCACCTTCTTCCAGCGCAGGGATGATAGAGTTCAGTGTGACCATTTTGAATCTGTGGGTACGGACAAATTTGTTGAGTTTTCTGAGATCTAGTATGAGTTGCCAACATCCGTTTTTCTTTTTAGAGTCAGGAATTAATGGAAATAAAATCCCTGCCCTGTGTTGTGTTGGAACTTGTTCCACGGCCCCTAGTTGTAGAAGGTGATGTACTTCTTGTCTCAATAGGTGCTTGTGAGAAGGGTCCCTGAAGAGGAACGGGGACGAGGAGACGGGTAGGTGGGATGGAGGTAAAGGGGATGGTATAACCCATTCGAATGATCTCTAAAACCCAATGGTCCGTGGTGATAGAGGCCCACGGATGGTAAAATGGTCGAAGCTGATGACCAAAGTTTTGGATCGTTTGTTCCATTGGCGCTAACGGTAGGGGGAGGTCTAGTCTCATCCAATCCTTGTCTTGTGGTGTGGATTTGAATTGAGGATATTTGCCCCACTGGTTGACCGCATCCACCACTAAGCAGTTAGGCTGTGGGTGTGAAAAAAAGGAAGTCCATGACTTTATTTGGCACATAGTATTTCCTGTCCATATGCTTATGGGTTGGGGGGATGGTGGCAGGTGTTTGCCACACCGTTTCTAAAGGTTCCATCAGAGCGTCCTTTATGGGCAAAGCTATTTTTGTAGTTGATAAAGTGTGTCGGATCTTGAGGAGTTGGTGTTGCGTCCCTGGTACCTCCTCAAGAGGAATATTTTGGCTCTATGCCACCCACCGGAATAACTCCTAAAAGTGTTTGAAATCATCTGTACTAGTGGGAGGCGGGGGCATAACTGCCTCATCAGCGGAACAGGAGTTGTGATCAGGGGATGTTTAATTTTCTGTTGTCTCATCCCTGTCTTCCTCCACTTCCTCTGTCACCTCAGAGGGCTCAGGTACCGATGTCATTACAGAGCATATGGGTTTCCTGTGGGAAGTGGGAGGTCTGTGAAATTGAGACCTGTAGGCTGCCCATGGGTCCCATTGTGGCCATTGAATCGGAAATGGAATGGGAGGGCACATCCATGGATTAGTGAGCCAGGGGGGGGAAGTCCCTGGTGCTCTGTTCCCTGGGTCTATAACGAGGTTCCTGCTGGGGAGGAGTGTCCAGATGAGAAAACTGCCTCCTCCATGTTGTCGTCCCCATCACTCAAAAAATGTGGAGCACCAGGAGATTCTGGTTGGTCCAGTGCAGTCAGTAATGGCAAGCAGGCAGTGCCGAACAGTGGAGATCTGGAAACAGAGAACACTTCCATATCTGACAAGTGCATAAGGGGGATTGGTACCGTTGTATGCGGTGCTGTATCCTTCTGCGTTGCCATCCTAGATGGAAGTGAGCCCAGTGCCGACCCTTTGTGTGTAGCCTTCTTCGGTGCCGATGAGCTTGATGCTGGAGGGGGAGCCATCACAGGTGGTTGAGGTTGTGGTACTGTGCCCTTTGTAGGGGTAGTCGGAGCTGTGGAGCAGGAAGTCTCTTTGTGCCTGCTACTTGACTCCTTTCTCCTGCCGGCAGAGGTCATGGAGCGGACGGTATCAGAGGTGCCTGATGCATCAATAGTGCTCATTCTGGAGAAGGTCGGCACCATGGGGAGCGATCTCGCTGGAGACCATTCTTTTTTAACAGTTCTTGGCTTGGTGGAGACATGACCCTTTTCCTCGATTTTGTAGAGGAGTTGGCACTTAGTCTGTCCATGGAGGATGAGCTGCAGAGTCCCTTGTTGCGAGTTGTCCAGGGCCCAATGTAGGAGTGAGGGATTTCTCCATTAGAATAAGTTTAAAATAAAGATCTCTATCTCTCATTGCTCTCACTTTGAGATTGTTGCAGTGAGCGCACTTCTGCAGTACGTGTGACTCACCTAAGCATCGGACATATAAGGAGTGGCCATCAGAAATTGGTATTGCGTCCTTACATGAAGTACATCTTTTAAATCCTGGGAAGCCAGGCATATTTATGAAAAAGGGGGATGGGAAAATGAAAGGTTTTTTTATGGCTATCTAACTAAGTTTAACTAATGCTAACTTTAACTATATTAATTAAAATAACAAATTTTACTAATAAAAAAGGGTAATAACTATGCTATCTAACTTAACCTAATGTTTTTGAAGGTTTTAGAGACATTGCTACCGGACTCTGTCTCAAGCCGAGGATGACTGAGAAGGAACTGCAGGGGTCGGGGTGTGTGTGAGCTAGATGAGGCACCGGCGGCACCGTGAGACTGCTACTGTACAGGTGCATCCTGACCAGACACTGCTACCGAAAATCTCAGATTGACTGTGCGATGGGTTGGGTCACAGAAACTCCCTGAAGACTGTCTCTAGATGTGCTGGGATACCACTGAGAACAAACCCCTCTGCCAGAAAAGGCTTCCCTCCACTCCCATCTTGCTGAGCTAGACACACCAGTTGGCTCCAGCACAGACCAAGAGGCTGGGCCATGCCCCCCTGCAGTTCACAGAAACTAAGATTCACTTGGCCCAGGAGTTTCTCAGTTAACAGGAACTTTCCCAGCATCCGGTATTCAATTTTTCTGGGAGCCTAAACCCCAAATAAATCTGTTTTACTCTGTATAAAGCTTATGTCCATGAATGATTCAGCTTTTTGCAGGCCAAAGCCATTGTTTACATATTAGTTTGAACATTCCCAGGAAAGCTCAGATGTGGATGGGCGTCTCCCAAAGTCCATTGTCAGATAAGTGTTTCTTGATTGGGCACTTACTGAGACTAGTCCTTTCTCAAGAAGCTGACCAAATCCTTCACTGAGGCTACTTAGAATCAAACACATTGAGATACAAGTACATAGCCAATACTCATAACTTCAAATACAAAAATGATACACACACACACAGATAGAATAATCATAACCAGCAAACTACAACGTTTCCATAGACACACCACTTGACCTCCTCTGTACAAGACCTGGTGCCATCATAGGACCCTGGTTGCAACAATGATCTATACAGTCATGGTTCATGTCAGTAACATCACAGACGGGACACACTGACACCTGAAGTGGAGCACCCACAGGAACAGCACTCGAAGAAGAAGATTTGGTTATCCAAAAACCTGATTTACAATTACCTTGAAATTTAGGGGGGACATGGTGCACTGGTGCAATTGCTACTGGAATATTATGTCCAGTTGTGATGTCCAAAACCCCAAAAGGATACTGATTAAATTGGAGAGCCATCGATGGGACAGGAGAATGATTAAAGGATTGGAAAACATGCTTTACAGACTCAATGAGCTCAGTCTGCTAAGTTTAACCAAAAGAAAAAAAGGCCAAGGGTCACTTGATCACAATCTATAAATACCTACACGGGGAACAAAATTTTGATATAGGGCTCTTCAGTCTAACAGACTGAACAAGATCCAATGGCTGGAAATGGAAGCTAGACAATTTAAAACTGGAAATAAGGTAAAAAAATTAAGTGAGTATAATTAATCATTGGAACGTCTTAGCAAGGGTTATGGTGAATTCTCCATCACTGACAATTTTAAATCAAGATAGGATTTTTTCTAAAAGATATGCTCTAGTTCAAATATGAATTAATTCAAGGAAGTCCAGTGGCCTGTGTTATACAGGTCAGAATAGATGACTACAGTGGTCTCTTCTGGCCTCACAGTCTATGCTTCTATTATATTTATATGATCTAGAGATAGTCAGAGAGCTGTATAAGACTGTTTCAATCTATCTAGTACTAGTAGATACTAAAATAAAACCTTGTGAAAGAAAGCTGAACACACTACTACTGTTTTCTTGTTCACGAACATATCTTTGTATTTTAAATGCAGGGCACTTATAATTGCATCATCTGTAATACCTGTTTTTTATTTGCAAATTTAAGTTATGAACAGAAATTACAACAAACACAGACTACCTGATCTGGAACTTCACAATCAGGTGATCAATTTAAGTTAAACAATGGTCCCTTTGAATATGTGTTAACTACTTGCGATAAACAATCTGTTCCACATAACTTTGTTAGACACTACGGGCATGGCTACACTTGCAGATGTAGAGCGCTGTGAGTTAAACCAGCCCACAGAGAGAGAGCAGTAGGGAAAGCGCTGCAGTGTGTTCACACCTTCAGCTGCAAGCGCACTGGTGTGGCCACATTTGCGGCACTTGCAACGGCACTGGGAGTCATGCATTATGGGCAGCTATCCCACAAAGCACCTCTTCCCATTCTGGCGCTGTGGCTTGTGGGAAGGGGGCAGGGGTACGTGGGGCATTCTGGGTCCTGTCCCAATGCCCTGTGATGCATCGCTTTGCATCCCAGCAATCCCTGTGCTTCCATCCACATCTGGCGCCCTCTTTCAACGTTTTTTGTACTGTGCGCTTTGTCTTCCCTTTTGGTCTGCGGGAATGGATCCCAAAGTGCTGAGGAATATGCTGATAGGTCTCGCCAGCACATCACGTTTGGCAGTCGAGTTACTCCTTAAGCTACAAACTGACAGTGAGGAGTCCGACAATGATGTCGACTCGCATAATGCATATGACATGAGATTGCTTGTGGCATTCACGGACATGCTCATCAGGGCCGACTCTAGGTTTTTTGCCACCCCAAGCAAAAAAAATTTTGGCTGCCCCCCGACCCAGCCCTGGGCTGCTCGCAGCACCCCCCTGCTGCCTCAGGCCTGGGCTCTCCCCCCCCACCCACACCCCCTGCCACAGCAGCTCTGGGCTCCCTCATTCCTCCCCACCATTGCCCCCCACACACACCTCCTGCCACCCCAGCCCTGGGCTCTCCCCCCCCCACCTGCACCCTCCTTCCGCTGCAGCCCTGGATCACTGGTAACTCGCTCCCACAGCAGGTCATTCAGCAGGAATTTTAGATGTGCACAGAACACA